CCAAGCTCGCTTCTGCCCAAGTCCAAAAGGGGAGAAATACTCTTGCGATCGGCTTCAACACTTGCCGAGTATTCACATGTGGGGGCCGGCCACTCGCAGCTAGGGACAAGTCATAGCCCGCCCAAAGAACGGGCCGCAGATGGATGGTCCTGATGCTAGCCGAGTTGATCGAGAATTTCATGCGTGTCACAGCGTCAGTAAGAGACTTGTCACAAGTTCATGCTCGGGCGACCAAAAAACAACCCCCAAGGGAAACGGCGCGGCAGACCAATCATCCAGGTATTGGGACGACTAGCCCAGGTACCTTGGAGGAGTTTGCTCCTCCTACCCCGTATCGGCACTTTCCTGCCATCGAATGAAGAGAGAGGAGTAAAGCCATTTTATGCGCTCCGCACGTCATCGCCCAGTTGGCACCAGAACACTTGCTTGGCGCCGCGGCGGATTGGGGAAAGCTCGGGGTCCGCGAGCCAAACAAGGGCAGCCAGATATTCTGTGCGAGCGGTCGGCCGGTGAACACGGCGAGGATAGCCAGCGGCGGGTTAACAGAGGCACATATTGCATTAAGAGAAGCAAATTCAGTCCTCAGTGACGTTGGGGCGGCAGTATAGCAGCAGAAAGGTGGTATCCACTCTTGATCTGAATTTGATCAAGAAGCCAATGATATTCCCACACAGCAACCAGGCACCCATGGGGGCAAATAGGGCTCTCTCCAATGTGACACCTCGTAATGGCCCAGACAGGGGCGAAGACAAGAGGGTAGCAAGACCCATTGATGATCTCGGATAGGCTAGGTTTCTGGTCAGAAAGGGAGAGATGGCCAAAGCTAGTGGGTAGGAGGCAGAAGGAGGCGGGGCAGATGCCCGAGGGAATCAATGCATCACCAGTGTATCGAGAAGGAGGTGGGATTGTTGCTGTCGTGCCGGCCTCATTAGCGCTCAACTTAGACGTGCTTTGGGCCCAGAGATGGCATCCCAATGCAAGGCCAGACAGGGCTCGGCTGGCTAAAACTTTGCGTTATCCTGCACTAGGCGGGTGAGAGCTGGGATCAGCCTTGGAGAGTGGCTGCTAGTTAGCGTCCTCTAGTGACGATGGAGGCTTGCGGTCATTGCGGGTGTGGGTGAGACGAGCTGAGCGAGTCAATCGAAAACAAGCAGGCTGCGTGTAGAGAGGAGAAGGAGGCACGGAAACCTACTCGGCACAGTGGTAATACAAACAGCTCCTGGTTGGCCCAGTTCGGCGTCTTCTGAGGCGCATTCTCGAACCTAGAATGCATGCCCCTCAAAACCTCGCCCAAACAGCCGCCTGCAGGGGGCTGCATCTGGAGAACCACCAGGCTGCTCTGCCTTCCAGATGATGTTAGCAGGCTCCCGCATGCGTTATGTAACTGGATGTACTTTTTCGAATCTGCCAATGAAGCGATGGAGACTGACACTCCGCACATCAGCCCTTGTCCCGGTCGGCGGCTTCGAAATTGATTCCATGATCCACCGGTTGGGCGTCGATACGGTGAAATCAACCGCCGGAGCTGCGCTGCAACGCTCAGCAGCACCGTTGTGAGGTAGTTTTTTAGCGGCGTTGGGTGGCTTTGCCCATCATTTCTGCCCAGCCAACCGCCGTCTCCATCGCCATGGCGCACACAAAAGCAAAACCGCTCTTGTTTCTTAATCCTCCCATTGTTATTATATAGGAGGACCTGTCGCGGGGTCGCCTTGCTCCCCTCTGTCTGCCTTCGTTCCAAGCTCGCCCACCATCGCCGCAGCAGAATCAAGACGGCTGCTCTACCTAGACACACATACAGTCTTCACCTCCATCGTCGGTGTGCATCCAACCGCTGACGCCACAGCACTGCACTGCTCTTCTCTACTGCGCATTGCTTGGCTAGCTGTCACACGGACGCATCGCCAGTACCTACATTCGGATAGGCTGCACACCATACCGACTGTCACATATCATAGTGCCTCGCCTCCCCCCCTACCTTAGCCTGCCGACCCCGGCCCCGGCTATTCCCACTTCACCGCACCATCAAGGAAACTTGGAACTTGCGCTGCGCCTGAGTCTGGAGTGGGGTCTCTCCTCGCATCACACGTCATCGCCCATCAGCTGGCTCAAGCACGCTGCCGGTCCCGTTCAAAGTGGACGTTCCTGACCTCAAAGACTACCAAAGAGCCGCTCCCGTGCTCCTCCTTTATTCATCATCCGCTCGCTCTCCCACAACCTCCTTTTCAGCATCTTTTCCTCCCGGCTAGGACCCCTTTCTCCTAGTTTCATCCACACCAAAACATTGCCTGCCTGCTTGCCTTGCCCTTAGTCTCGGGCCCAGAGCAACCTGAATTGGGGCTTTGAGCACACTCGACAACTACATAATCAGAACCTTCACACATACGTCATCATGTCAACCCGCTGGGACCGTGATCGGATGGAGTACGAGGCTGCCCGCGCAGAGCGTGGCCGCTTCGAAGACAGAGACAGAGACAGATACCAGATGCGCGGCGGAAATGGCCGCGATCACTCAGACGAGCGCTACGACCGTCGCTATCACAGAGGGTACAACGACGATGTTGTACGAGATCGCAGATACTATGGCGAAGAGCCGCCATATCCCCCCCGTCGGGAACAGCCACCGCCTCGCCCAGACTATGACCGCCGCCCACCAGTAATGGAGAGAGAGAGACAGCCCGAGAGAGCCCCCGAGAGGGATTACCCCTCTCGCCGCCCAGCTTTCCTCCGCCGCCAGTCATCTCTGGATACCTTCGACCGCCATCCTTTGCGCTTCTATGATCGAGAGGAATATCCGCCCCCCGCCCGCAGGGAGGACATCCATCGAGATCGAGATGCACACTACCGAGCTCCTCCCTACACAGACATCCCCCTCCCCAAGACTCGAACCAAGGCTCTCCCCCCACCCAGGAGGTACAACGACCAATACTACAATGACATCAAGATTGCTGAGCCCGACTACTACGGAGACGAGGATTTCCGTCCTTATCCGGACCAGAGAGTTAATGAGCGAGAGATGGTACGACATCACAAGCGACGAGACAGCTTCGGCTCCTCTTCAAGATCGACTCGTACCCGGACCCGGCGCGGCAGTTCCCCTTCATCCGCCACCAGTAGCCGGTCTTCTAGCAGCAGCGGAGGCACCACCATCAAAAGCGAGTATCCTAAGAAGGGAAAGACTCGCATCCCCGCTCGGCTGGTATCGAAGCGTGCTCTCATTGATCTTGGATATCCGTTCCTTGAGGAGGTGAGCAAAAAACTGCCTTTAGCTAACAGTTGAAGATCTCCTCGCTAACATATCTGAAGGGTAATACTGTTATTGTTCAGAAAGCCCTTGGGCAAGCGAACATCGATGAGCTTCTTAAGCTAAGTGAGGACTACAAAAAGAGTAAGAACACATCTGTGCCTACATGCCTATACTCCAGACTGACATGTAATCATTTAGGCGAGATGGAAGTTGCTGCAGCACGTTCGCTAGCAGGAGACCTCGCTGAGGAGCGAAAGGCTGAGAAGGCAGCCGAGAAGGCAGCTCTCCCTGCCCCGCCTCCTGCTCCTACCGCCGCTCCTGCTCCCGCTCCTGCTCCTGCTCCCGCCCCTGTTGCTGCTCCCGCTCCTGCTCCTGCTCCTGCTCCCGCGCCAGGTCCCGCCCCTGGTCCGGTTTATGTTCCTGCGCCAGGTCCGGCTCCTGGTCCAGCTCCTGGTCCAGGTTATGCTCCAGCTCCTCCCCAGGCTGCAGCTCCGCCACCTGCTGCTACGAGAGCTCCGCCTCCAGCTCCGGCTCCTCCTAGAGCCGCGGCACCAGGTCCTACGGTTGTGCAGGCTCCTGCTCCGGTCATCATTGATGCCTCTCCTCACCGATCTCGCTCAAGCAGCACAAGCTCCACCAGCAGCAGCAGCACCCACCACCATCACCACCACGGGGGCCCTGTGGCTATCATAGATAGATCCCGCTCGCGATCCAAGTCCAGGGGCAAACGAGAGATTCGTGCCGAGATCCGTGCCCTGGAGCGCGAGCTTGTACACCGCCCCAGGGACATTGGACCAGTCAGAGGAAGGGAGATCGTTCATGCTGAACGCCTTCCCGATGGTCAGCTTGTTGTGTATGAAGAAGAGGTGGAGAAAGTAATCCACCACCATAAGCCTCCTCGCATTGAGAAGGACAAGAAGGGTCGGTTAAGTCTCAGTGTACCCCTTCGTCGATGAAAAACTTCCCGGACAAGCGGCTGACTTGGGCTGCGCAGGACCTTCGCCAGGACTCATGCGAGCAATGTTTGCTACCCTAACTTAAGAACATATTAATTCCTCCTTGTGTGGCGTTTCTTAATGTCCTTCTTTAACGGCCTCGGATTTACGATCTTTCAGCATATCTCTTTCTACTCTCACAGCAAGCGAAGTTACAAGGCGAATCAGAAAATCAACAAATAGATGGGGATTGGGATTACTACTTTTTCATGGCGCATAAATTGTTCTATTTTGGGAAGCCTCTTGGGAATGGAGGATCGAGTGAGACATATACTCGTTTTGTAACTTTTTTATCTGCAGTATTGTTTTGGGACGGATGGGATATGATTCTGAAGAAACTCTTTATATTATTACGACCAGACTGGATTCTACTTGTTCATAACGCACACACAAGGTTAATAAGATTCGTATTCGTTTCACCGATCTCAGTCAGGCCGTGGCGAAGAAGCTCACATGATGCGCAGCGTCTGCTAACGTGGAGAATCTCCAAGACACTACTTTCAGACAAGACCGAGCGAGACCACCATCTTGAGACAGTTGCCGAGGACCCTGGAATAAAAGGTCCAGACTGACACAAGACCTGAATAAACTGCTCACCACTTGCTCCATCATGTCGCAGTCGGCGGCCGGCTTGTATGCAGGGAATGTTATTCACGAATATGTAAAAATGGCCTTGTTTCCCCCCAAAGTTCCCTTTCTTTCAAACCAATATCATTATAGTTTTTAATAGAAAGGAAATGTTACTTTCCTTCCCTCGCAATATGCAGGTCCGTAAGGGTTCGGCCCGCGGGAGCCCACATGCCTTTATTTTTACCTTCCTTGTCCTCTTCCTCGCGTTTCATCCTGCACTCTGCAGGCCCGGCTACGGCGCCATCTCGAAACGCGACACGGCCACCAGCAACCAGGAGGGCGGCATCGGCCCAGCTGCCATACCTGGGCAGAGCGAAGCCGAGAGCCCCATCCCCGGGCTCGAGGTCTCCCTCACCCAGGTCAAGACGCCCTCCTCCTCCCCGCCGGTCGTCACCGTCACCGTCACCAACAGGAACAGCTTCCCCGTGACGCTGCTGACGTACGACTCGCCAGTCGACAGGGCCGCCCTGCGGCTGGGCATCGTGCTCGTGACGCCGGAGGGGGCCGCGGGGCCCCTGGAGCTGCCGCGGATCCAGTTCCGGCGGGTCTGGCCTCCCGGGCCGGAGCAGCTCGTCACACTCGCGCCGGGGGCGCGGACGAGCAGCGAGATTGAGTTTGACGACGGGATCTTCGATGATCCGGCGCAGCTGAGGGGGGCCAAGGTGGTGGTGAAGGGGAGGTGGAAGGCGGTTTGGAAAATGGTGAAGGAGGATATTGGACGGGCGTCGTTGGATGATCCGGATGGGAATCCGGATGCGTATCAGGGAGAGTTTCAGAGTGATGAGTTGGTGATGGTTGTTTAGTTTGGGGGCTTTGTGTGTGTGGTTGAGGGTTCCTGGTGTGTTTTGGATGTGGCAGTTGATGAGATGAGGTATGATGAAAGTAAAAGATGCAATGATTTATAGAAAGTCTTGTTACCATTGTGTTTCCAAACAGCTTTCTACATACCTAAAGCTCAGTACACCATTATCGTAATTAACCTGGATCTATCTTTCATCATGGAACCAAGGTGATTCCGTACGTCAATTCTATGTCATGCCTTGAGAAGAGCTGAGAGCCATTACTCAATGTCTTCCATATCTTCATCTGAATCCGAATCTGAATCTGAATCCAGCTCTATTTCCCAGTCCTCATCCATGTAATGGTCGGAATGATCACCGACGATAAACGAATTGTCGGATTCTCCTCCTGGGTCGGTATCAGCCTTAGGGTCTTCCGGATCACTTTCATCACTAGAAATCATGATCAGAGCATCAGGACCTAGGAGCTTAGCCTTGTCGAGATTCCGGGTGTTTCGGGTCTGCCTTGTTTCCTGCCTTGTTTTGGTCCCGAGCACGGGTTTCGAGGGCACTGTCTCCTTCTTCCCATTACGTCTCCTATTCTGGCCCCGTGGACGTGGAGGATTTCTGGGGGCGGTGTGGCCGTTGTTGTCGTGTGTGCATGTTTTTGGATTTGTGGCGTATTGTGCCTCTGAATGCTCTCCCTCGGGGATGTCAGCGGCAGACCTTCGAGCTCGACGTGAAATCCTTGCATTATCTTGGTTGGTTCGACCCCGTGGTCCTCGCGTTGCTAATACAGATGCCTGGTTGGTGTGAGCAGCATCACTCTTATCGCCTTCCCTCCATTCGGCACAAAGTTGTTTAAGCTTGGGAGCAATGTCGTCTCTCGCTGATCCTCGTGACTTTCTCTTCTGTTTGAGAAGACTGTCATACTCTGTATGGTTGTGCCTGATATGCGCAATCACAGCGAGTCGAGCCTTGGAATCGATTGTCAACTTCCCCGTCCGCCCAACTCTCCCACTCCGCTTCTTAAGCGCCCGGTCCAGGACCTTTTCAAGATCCTGTAGCGGGATTCTGGGAAACAGGCGTAGAATTGCAACCTCGAAATCCGACCGTGTTGCAACATCTCGCTTCTGTACAGCCACGCGACGATCCTCTCTCGTCGCGCGGTCCTTTTCGTGCACCTCGTTGATTATGTACTTGGGCGCCCTGATGCCGACCGCTGTCCGTCTCTTATCGACAACGACGTACACTTGCTTCCCAGCCGCCTGGGTCAACCGGCGACACAGACCGGTGCGGTATGGATCCCCCTTGGGTAGGAAACCGTATCCCTTAGGCATGGAAGCGCTTAGTGGGACCTTTGGCTCGGACTCAACCATTGTGCTGTGTTTTGTGGTGAAGGACCGTCACGTGTGTTGGCGGAAAGGACTGTTGTGATGCATTTTGAGTCTGAGCTGAGCTTAAGCTCGGTCAAGACCGAGGTTCAGTGTAGCGCGATGAGAGACGTTGATGTGTGGTTGCATTCAGAGGTTTGCATCTGCATGAGAATTATTGATGCGTTGCGATCATTTCATTAGTGAAGTCTGGTGTTGAATGGAAGGAAGGCATGTTGTTTTGCTGAGGGAGAAGTGACACAGGTGAAACGTGCACCTACCCTGTATCACGATATCGACCAAGAACACGAGATTGACTGTAGATCTTTGGGCAAAAGATGAGGACTCTGTATTATTCAGGATGCTGAAATTCATTTGATTTATCTTGTTGGTTTTGCATTAATTGAGATGGGCAATCAAACAAGTACTTTGTTGGCTCTTGGATTCAGCCTATATGATTGCACATTTCGACATGATGAGCATACCATATTTCAGATAGCTCACCACAGAAATCCTCAAAAAGAACACACTACAAAGAGATTACCAAACAAATTATCATATATTGTCGATGGGAAATGTCAAGCCATCTAAATAGCACGATAAAAGACAAAACATCATAAACATTTTCCTTGAGTCGACACTCTGACCTCTAACGAACAACCGATGCATCAGTGGCACGACACTGGTCCAAAGCAACCTACAACTAAATACATATACCTTCAAAAGGTGAACATAGAGCCCTGATACTTGCTCTTGCAAGGTCCAATTGAATCGTGTTTTGTCCGCATAATATCGGCATTCTTAGAAATACGTAGGCACGGGTAGGGCCAGCATTGTCACAATTGTGTCTTGGTTAGCACACCGCTTCACTGACCATAATGTGTATCATCTTCAATTATCGCGTCAATTCTATGCGAAGGCAGCGCTGTACGATTACGGTATGTGGCCAGCTGAGCATAAATGGTGGCTTCCGTCTATCTACTCTTTTCAACCGCAGGGCTCAGAACGAGTCCCTGTTAAGCTGAGGGTCTTGGTGGGCCTGAAAGCAAAAAGGGGCCATTTCTATGCGCTTCACAATCCCCCTTTTACATACGCTGCCATCGCTGACCCCGGGGGTTCCTATTGTCCGCTTAGTTATCATTCCAGTGACCCAGTTTGAACGAGCCTTGGCTGAGACAACGACAGAAGTAATGAATCAGAGACAACTTGGATTTGGAATGTTCAAAACCAGTGTGCTGGGAGCTATCGCCGCATGGAATTACAGTCCAATACACGGCGGTTTCACATACACATGTGCGATATGTATCTAGGGCTGAGCTGGTTGTTTCCAAGAGACGTACACCGAGCGCTTGAACACCGCCGAGGGCATATTGGCAACCCCTTTCCAATTGCAATACCTTGACCTGATCTCACCGAAGAGATTACATAGTATCAAGTTATAGTGCGAACCCTGCCGTATTGGCAATAGCTTCTCAATGTGCTAATAAGGTAATATGGACTCTAGGGCGAAGCTGTTAAATCCGGGTGGGCCCGGTACTTACTGCGGCTGTGCCCGAGGCTGGACAGTTCTAGGCAGCTGGAGAAGACCATTTCCATTGTGCAGAAATTGTTATTTAACAGCACCCTGTCAGCGAATTGCCCTTTTGTTGGTGAGGCATATTTTTTTGCCTGCCCGCGTAAAGAGCATCTGACGTGTCAACGCAGCAAGTCCGCTATCAAGCCAGTCGAGGCGTGGCTGTTATTAATGATGCAATTCCGCTCGCGATTGGTGTCGTCCGCGTCATGCACGGGGAGCTGTTCGTCTACCGCAGTGTCGGGATCTTAATTCGACCCGAGGGCACGTCCGCGGCTGCAAACTTCGGCATGACACCGATGAGATTTGTCAGGCCGTGCTCAAGACGGATCCGTGGCTTGCCGGGGGTCCATGTCGCCTATCAGCACTGTTAGTATGCACGGCTCTGATTATGAGGATTGGAAACATTGAAGGCAAACGCTGACAAGGGCACTGGTGCTGATCCGTGTAATCGGCCGTAATGGTACTAGTAGGGGTGAAGGGCAAAGGTGGTGGGTGCTGCTAGTCAGTGCATTATCGTGAACGGGATGTAGGTGGGTTTCCTCCGTATGGCCTCCGCTAATGCGAGTCTATCACCAAGTTGCGCAAACATCCTCGTTAGGCCTTTTGGTAATGTGATCAGAAGTGAGCCAATCAACCAATGTGAACGTTCCGCCGGATGAGTCTCGCCGAATGTACAATTGTGAGGGTGTGATGGTGTGCTGACCACCTCTGGACTGTTAGGCAGAAAGACAGATAACCGCGTCGTACTCCGTATCTTCAGGATCGACGAGCTGAAGCGCCGTGGAAATCTTCTTGATGGTGCAAACTGCGGAGTCACACCCATCACAGAGGGCGGCGGAGTGGGGAATGGCGGATTTTGCGGACAATTGGCGTTTTCCACGCTCAAGTGACAGGTATTGGACAGTGCTAATAGGACGTGCTAAGAGATGGCTCAATTCGGACTTCAATGCATGCCTAATAATATTAAAGTTTTTGGAGCAAAGTAGGGTCGTTTTGTGGAGTCGGCCCAGCAGGCGGAATACCGCCAGCATGGTGTTACGATTGGTCGCGGACCAGATGTGGGATATGTAGCGAGATCTCGAATGCGACGGAATGCGACGAGCACTGGCCCATGGCAAGACCCTGACGCTGGATCGATCTTCGATACCACCCATTGTCCCGACAGGATGCCCTGCAACGTTGCCACGAGTCCTCAATGCACGATGGCTACATTTGTAGACAGAGGACGGGCACGGCATGATGATCTTCTCGGTCTATTACTTTGAGGTGCAGTTGGGTGGTGTGTTGTCGGGGATGGAGACGACTTGGGAAATCCTGACTCAGAGAGCCAGATCACCACGCTTTGTGAGCGTCATACAGCTTTGAAGCTGAGACCTAGAAATGACCAATGTCTGAATTTCCGGGCGGGCTTCTGAAACAGAGTTGTGGTCTACCCTGGCCAAACCCACGATGGCGGACTTGGAGGCACAGGGGGCGCAGGTGCTGGAAGAGCCGGAGAGACAATTGTTTCGGCACTGTAGTGTTGATGGCATAGGCTGCGCCGCAGTGCGCATTTGCCGTGCATGGTGATGTTCGACACGACGCTTGCTGCTGTACCCAGGCAAATTCAATCCTTTGGTTGTCATCAGAATTTCGGTGGGGGTGTATGGCGGCGGGCTGTCGGGTTCTTCGAAGACCCCGAAATGATGGGCCTTGGTCCCTGGTCTAGCGTGGAATATTGGAAGAGGCAAGATTGATTCTAAACAAACAAGTCGTTTCACAGCTGTGTTCTTGTCATTGTGAGAGAAAGAATGGCAAGACGAATCATTTGGAAACCGAAATAGTGTGCCGGGTGCTGGAAAGGTGGTCCAGGAGCATGCGGGTGTTGAATTGAACAATTCGAGGATGCATAGTGTTGCACCACTGGAAAAGGCATCTGCTCGCCCATGGTGCCTTCCATTGATACTACAGGGTTCGCTGTTCGCAGCCTGTAGGCGGCCGCCCGGCCCGGACGGTGGGCGGGGGGAAGCTTCAGTGAAGGTGTGGCCGTGTGCGCGCGCGTATAAGCGGTACTCAGGCAAGACACGACACAGGCCATGGCTGAAACGCAGAGGCACGACGGGAGCGGCCAATGGCTACCGAGTCGGCTTCTGGAGAGATCTCCAATGCGACGCCGTGGGGGCCAATGGGCTGCAACCCGTTGCGGTTAGATGGACGCACTTCCAGACATCACACATGCTGTGCCGTATGCGCCGGGCGGTTGTTTTCCAATCGCACTTTGGCGGACAAGCACCATAATGGTTGGGAGAATGCCCCCATATCGACAATTGCTCACTGTAGGGGAGATGGCTCATTCTGATGACGCTTTTTCTCCTAATCGGGAGGGTGTGAAGTTGACAGGGGATTGGCTGGTTCGCTTTCGTATGGCAACCGGCAAGCGTTAGCACCATGAATCGATTTGGATAACGGTGTGTGCGCGCTCGTTGTCAGAGCACTAGCGGCGGGGCCCAGTGGCTAACTTGCCTGCTTGGCGGACGGTCGGGCTGCAAGTAGAGTGCGAAAGTTGGCTCCGATCATTTCGTCCGCCCCCGGAGTGCTCCACGGCTGCCTGGTTCCTGCCCCATCCCATGCCTGGCTCCTGCAGTCCGCAATCTGATCTTACGGCGCCATTGCACTTGGTACATCGATTCGGGTACTTTCTGGTCCCCTTTCGGGGGTTTCCCACCCGCGAGGTACCTCCTTCCTCATCAAAGCCTCCATTGCGGTCCTTGTCTGCCGTTTCCAGGCGTAAAGGTACATGGCACTGACCCACGAGTACTCGCGCCTTGTCAACCCCGAGCCCGTGTTTTTATCTCAAGCTCGCCCTCTTCCCCTTGGATATTCTTTTTCTTAATATACGTCTCCCCGCCCTCGTTTTCTAAACTCTATTGTTCTCTCCAAACCTTACCCCTCTTCATTCCTTACTTAATTCTCTTCTCACACTCACTACACACCTCCGAACCCCTCCCCCCTTCTTACACGATAGGTGAAGAGTGGGCTGGCTAATCGACTTAGAGCCACCACCCATTGACCATCCCACCTCTAGAGCTCCTTTAATACGGCAGCAAACTCGGCCCCTCGAGGCGCGAGATCAAATATAGCCCACCATGGCCGCTCATACCAGCGAGGCGGTTCCTGCGACGGAAAAGCCCACAGCCGAAGTCAAAGAAACCACACCCGACTCAGCTACCGAAACGACCACCAGGGAAGAGCCGCCCAAGACCCCCAAGAACAAGGAAGATATCGAGGAAGTGGAGTCATCATCGCCAGCAGAGACTCTTGGAAAGGGTGCGGATAATGACGAGGAAGACGAGATTGTCGAAATGCGACGCCGCAGCTCCGTTGTCCAGGCACTGGCCAAGTCGTACTCGCGTGCCTCTGGCCCTGCTGGAGGTAACCCTTTCCTTGCTGG